ACTTTTTTAACAACTTATTACTCCAAAATGTTAAAATTTAAAAGTTGCTCAAAGTAAATTTTCTAATAAGCTTTTTTTGAGAAAGTTATTTTGAATTTCTACTTTATTCTTTTCTCATCGAATTATCATTCTTTCCCCTTTAATTCATTCCTTTCAACCAAATGCCATATTAGTTATGAATTCTATTATTACCCTATAACTTTGGGACGAAAAGTGCAAATTTCTATATTTAGTATTAAACTTTAATGTTTGAATATTGTTGTTGAGCTTATCATTATTTATTTGCGGTGGGAAAACGAAAGGTAGGGCGCATGATAGGCCCCAACACACAAAAGTGAACAGCCTAGCTACAAAAATGAGTGGTTCATGTATCCTTGGTGTTGGAGCAATGTGCAGATGATGAGAGGGCAATTACCAAGAAGACAAAATTTAATGCATGTATGTATGTATATGTATATGTATATTTCTAAGGACAGCAACCACACACCTAGTATGCTGATCATCCTCACATTTGGAAATCCATCATTACATTATTGGATTCATATTAGATTACAAGGATCAAAGGATTGATTGAGCCCCACTAATTGCTCCATTGTTGAAAATTTCCATCAATAGTCACTACATAGCAAAATAGGTAAAGAATAAAATGATATTTTGCAATCATCGTCATAATTTTCTCTTCAAAATTAATGATAAATTAAGTGACAGAACATACGTGTTAAAGCCAAACACCCTTGTGTTTAGTCGGCACCTCTGTGAGTTAGTGACTTTTTTTGAAGGAAGGTCATAGGATCAAATTCCGGTGTTGGGATATTTTGATCTTCCCTTGATTAGTTTTTTTTTTTTTTTTTTTTTTTTTTTTTTTTTTTTTTTGGATATGGAACCATAACAAATGGTTGTTATTCCTATAATTTGCAAATTGTAATGTGAAGCTTATGGATTCCTATAATTTGCCTAGCCATTTCAAGGTCGATTTAAATCAAATTGTTGTCATCTTAATCTCTAGTTTGACCCTTTATTTATTCACATTTTTCCTATCTGATGCAAAATGTTAAAAACTACTCCGTACTAATTTATGATGTTAAAAACTACTCCGTACTAATTTATGTCTCAAAATTTAATTTCTCATACCAATTTACAAGTTTGGTCATGAGAAATTAAAATTTGAAAATAAAATTAATTATCACTAATAATTCCATTTTAATAAAGATAAAAAAAACTATTCTATTAATTAATTAATTAATTGGGGAGCAAAACGAGAACTGTTTGTAATTGATATATTGAATTCACTATATATATATATATATATATATATATATATATATATATTCATTAATTAATTATAAGTACACGGTATATTTGAGGGACCAGTTTTTGAAGCACAAAGAGTCAACACTGTCTCCATTGAAACTTAATCTCATGACTTTCTATTTGGGAGAGTCAATTCATGCCATTTGAACAAGATGATTAGCATTTAATACAATTTATATTCATTTAGATTAGAAAAAAACGTTACATCCTCCTCATTTAATAGCAAAATAAAACAGTTGAGAAAGGCGAATGGTTTGGGTGACAACATCATAATCGCTTAGGATGAAAACACAACCTTGTCCTGTCAAGTTCAACACGTTTATTCCTAAATTGCCCATAATGCGCAATGCCCACGTTAAGACCACATCTTTTACTTTACTTTTTTCTTTTTTTCCACCCACGTGCAATAATATGTATTTCCATAATACCAACTATTATCTCCAGATCTGATGCAATAGAACTGAAAAAATTGTTCCCACCGACTTAATTCATTCTTCCAAAAAGACTGAACCCCAACCCCGGCCCAACAGAGCATTTGGGAGGATGTAAATCATGGTGACTCAACTGAACATGAATCATGTAGGCTACTGCACACAAGAAGCCCCCCTCCTCACTTTAAGAAGTTGCTCCCACACTGCCGCTGGTGAGACTCGATCACTGGTCATTCTTCCAAAGTTTCACCTCTATGACCAGTTGAGCTACCCATGCGGGCCACCAACTTAATTCATTGATTCAATAACTAGTATTTGAAAAAGAAGATTAATGTTTGAATCTTGGCAGTACATTGCCTAATTAAGATAGGTAATGATGTCATTTACAATATTAATAATTGAGAGATTCAATTTATTATTTAAAAAATTAATATTGTTTTTCCTTGACCTTTTTTTTTTTTTCCCTTCAAGGCATGCCTTGTACACAACAAATAAAACCTACTCATTATTGTATATATATATATAGTGTTTTGGCAATGAAACAAGCAAGGTAAGGAGGTCAAAACTACAAATTCAACACTAATGCAAATCAAATAAAATATCATAAGTAAGTCTAATAAATTAAATATTATACTCTCTAGCATACTTTTATTTAAAAAAGAAATAAACAATTTTAATTTGTTAAAACGTGAGATATTTCTTTCTTGTTCACATTTTATTAAAAATAGTATGTAGTTATATTATATGATGTGGTTAAAAAAAAAAAATCTTTTATATATCCTATAAAGATACATTCAACCATTTAATCCTATATATAATAAAGCCACATGGTCTTGTGAAAATTAAATGGTGATAATCAACATTTAATTTTCACAAGACCATAATAATATTGTTAATTATAATAACAATAATAATAATAATAATAATAATTGCAATAATAATAATGATAATATATATATATATATATATATATATATATATATATATATATTTATTTATTTATTTATTTATATTTCAATTTCTACTAGCAAATTATTGTGTGAACGATGATCCACATAATTGTATGGATCATGAATATCAAATACATTTTTAATATATTAAAAATACATTATTTTTATATTGAAAGTACCTTACATACATATATAATGTACCCTTAGTATATTTAAAATATACTTTTTATTGCATGCAACCCTAAAGTTCATAAGTTTGAAATTAATATATGGCATAGCTAGGCGGCCTAATATTTAAGATTGTTGATGTGCGTATTGAGGACTACGGAGACAAAGATGCGTTATTCGTGGATTTATCGGATACTATCCAACAACACTCTCCAACTTAATTGACGTGAAGTAGGCTTAGTAACATTAAGATTATATTTTCGAATTATTAGTTCTCATCTTTTATTGATTACACACTTAATTCGATAGTATTTGGAAGAAAAAATCAATGTTGGAACTAAGATTGTGATTTTGGTCTTTAAAGGTCAATTATATGTTGCTACATCTAGAGTTAGAAATCTCAAAGGTCTAAAAGTTTTGATCCGTGGTGACTCTAAAATTGTAATTCAATTACTATTGTAGTTTACTAAGTTCTTAAAAATTTGTAATATTAAATAGTATGTACTAAATTTTTAATATAGTTTAAGATTTGTAGTAATCACCCACCTTAAATATTATTTTAATTGTAAATATATTTATGTTCATAATTTTATCATAGGAATTCACACATAATAATTACGGAGTATTAAATAACAAAAATTTTATATATGAATAAACCTCATATAGGTTATATTTTTATAACATATTTTTCGTGCATCGCACGGGACAAATACTAGTTTATGTTAATAGATTAACATTTATAATTTAACATTCATTTATAACTTTATATAAAATCCTTACTAAAATAATATGTCATAATTTTATTAGATTTTAATTTTTAATTTAATATATTCCAAAATATCAAAAAATGAATGTTTTTCAAATTAAAAAAAAAAATCATTCTAAAAACATTTTTTTTTAAACATCATTCTAAAAACATGATAAACTAAACATGTTTGATTTTTCTTCTACTCTACCTTTCTTCTCAACCCCATCTCTTTCCTCTACTCTTTACTTGCACACTTCCTTCAATGATTTTTTATTTTTTTGGTCCAATAGTTTATATAGAGTACTTATCATGTTATCATTAATGAAATGTTTCCATAACAAATCCAATATCTTGGAATAACTCTTAAATGAAATGATAATACAACTGCATGATGATTCTATTCGCGTGGTAATGGTCTAAATTCTATTTTATCTAAAAACATAATAAATGTGAATGAAAATTATACCCTTGATTTATGTCCGTTTTTTTCCTTTAATTTTTTTGTACATTATGTTATAAAGGTTGTACATTAAAATATTTTGGACAAACATACCTTTACCGTTATAACTTTCGTTATCTTTTCCACTATTATTACCATGCACATGCATTCACCATATATTTCCTTATCTTCTTCATTAATAATAATATATAAACATTATATATTTGAGGTATATGTTAATTATTATATAAAATATAAATATCAAATTTATAAAAATGATTTACATTATTATTATTATTATTATTATTATTATTTAGAATAATTTAAATATTTAAAATTTAAATAAATTTAAAATTTTAATATAATGTATTAATATTGGACACCTAATTTTTGCACATCGCGCATAAAAAAATACTAGTCATATTAATAATAACTCATTTATGAAGTTAATTACAATATACTTTTGATTATTTAATTGTTATAGCATCTATATCAATAATTTTTTCACGATTTTTGAGAAAGAAAAAATCATGTATTATTTTTGAACAAATGCAGAGGGTGATTGTTTTGGGCATTTTACTCTTGCAAGTTCAAGATCTTTGTGGGGACCATCGCTCAGAGTGGAATAGGGAAGAGACGCGGAAAATCCGTGTGAAGGGCACTGCCCAGTGCCCGCACGCGCCATCTTGGCGTGTTTACTCTTGGGGTTTTTTTTTTTTTTTTTTTTTTTTCTCCTTCATCCTATTTTCTCTTTCTTTATTGACGCGGCAAAAACATCTAAAATACTTTACTATTGAGGATGTTCTTAGTTTATTTTATTTTAAAAAGTTTAGTCATTGATTTAAAATATTTTAATGCAAAAGCAAAAATGTAAGTTGTACAAAAGTACCAAACTATCCCCTAGTTTTATAGTAGTATAAAATAATCAGCAGAAGCAATTACAGTTCCATGCCAGTTCAGAGACATAAGCAGTACTAAAAGGGAGACCGGTAGGAAAGAGAGAGGAAGAGTAGGCGAGAGGGAGAGAGAAAGAGTAGGGGAGAGAGGAGAGAGAGGAGAGAGGAGAGAGAGAGAGGTATATACACACACATTAAAGGAGCATAGCCCCTCTTTTCCTTTCTTCCTTCGCTTCTCTTTTTCCTCTATTTCTCGGTGAAACACTCGGCCTTCTTCGTCTTCTGCTAAAGATAAACATGATTTCCTTAAGCGGGACCGCTTTTATGGTATTCCTGATCGACCCCGTTTCATATGCTTCAGTTTTGAGAACACCCATTTCCAAAAATTGGATTGCTTTGTGGGAAAGTTTGGATTTTTGGTCTGGGTTTCGCGTGATTTCTTGATTTTGTGGGTTGTGTTTTTTGCAGAACAACTCCCTGTCTGGGGTTTCGAAATGCTTGACTCAGTCACAGTCGCAGCGGAGGTTTTCAGCTCCGAAGGTTGTAGCCGCCGTCAGCTCCAACGGCAGACCCGGAGACCGGAATGCGAGCATCGTGATGGAGAGTGCTCTGAAGGAGGTGACGGAGTCAGTTCCCGTTGTGGAGAAGGAGGCCAAATCCACCGTCGCCGGCGGAGTTGGGGATTTCTACGGCGAGGATACTGCCACCGAGGATCAAGTGATTACCCCTTGGACTGTCTCTGTTGCGAGGTAAAATTGGTAAAAAGATCTAGTCTTTTTACGAGGTTTTGTTGTTTTCTAGTTTGTCCTTTTGATTTCAGTTCATTTCAATTTTGAAGGGTTCTTACTAAATTATATGCGATTCCATATTAGGGGTATTTTAATAAACTGATCTGCTGATTAGATTCTTGGAAATTTTCTTGTTCCCTCTATCTGATCTGAAACTTTTAAGTGATGTATGTACAATATCTGGACTTCTCTTAGGGCTTGGTTATCTGGTTATGCTTTGTGATTTGAGAAAAATATTCTGCTGTGTCTTCTTTATTCGAATCGAATGTTATACTTATATATATGGAGTAGCATCTGATATGATTACTCCTTTTCTGCTCAGTTTTAAAGATGCAGTTCTATGTTAGCAAAGCTGTTTGCCAGTTTACTCCCCTAGCCTGAAAGAAATGCCTCTTAGCTGTGTGTTCTTGATCGTTATGAGATAATAAAGTTTTCATTTTGATGCAGTGGATACACATTGTTGCGTGATCCGCACTACAATAAAGGTCTTGCCTTTAATCAGAAGGAAAGGGATGCCCACTACTTACGTGGTCTTCTTCCTCCCGTGGTTGTCAATCATGAGCTTCAGGTGATCTATAGCATATTTCTGTACTGCATAAATATTGGCAGAAAATAGGTATTGAGAATTATTCAAGAATTGTTTTGTCCTTTTTGCAGGTGAAAAAAATGATGCACAATCTCCGTCAATATGATCTACCATTGCAGAAGTACATGGCCATGATGGATCTCCAGGTAACACTTTGGAGTTTTGTTTCTAAGTTCCTTATTAGTACAGTATTGAAAATGTTTGTATCTATTCTCCCTTTGCCCTCTATCTTACTTTTTCTCTGTTTTCAGGAGATGAACGAAAAGCTTTTTTACAAGCTTCTGATTGACAATGTTGAGGAGCTTCTTCCAATTGTCTATACTCCGACTGTGGGTGAAGCATGCCAAAAATATGGAAGCATCTTCAGGCGTCCTCAGGGTCTTTTCATCAGTTTGAGAGAGAGGTAATTTTCACGACTTTACGGTCTATTTAGTTCCTCAAGTTATAGTGGCAAAGAACTGATTTTTGGAAGCATTCTCCAGGGGAAGAATTCTTGAAGTGATGAAGAATTGGCCCGAGAAAAAAATTCAGGTCATTGTTGTCACTGACGGGGAAAGAATTTTGGGTCTCGGTGACCTTGGTTGCCAGGTACATTAACTTTGTTCGGTTCTTGGAACTGACTCTTTTTTTGTTATCTGGAGCGAGACTCCTTTAATATATATCTGCTTAGTAGACGTGATTTTTTTAATTTTTTTTTTAAATGCTGAAATTAATAGATTGTAGAAATAATATTTTTACCAGGGCATGGGGATACCTGTAGGAAAGCTCTCATTGTATACTGCTCTTGGAGGCATTCGCCCTTCTGCTGTAAGTTTTTGTATTGCTAATATATCTGTTTATAAGTTCTTATAAGTTTTACTTCATACGAGCTTTTCGATTTATGTCATTTATTCCCTTTTTCTATTCAAGTTTTTTTTTTTTTTTTTTTGAAAAGTTTTCTATTAAGTTGATTATTCCCGTTTTATGGCAGCTTATAATGTATTTGCTTTTCTTTTCAGTGCTTGCCCGTAACCATTGATGTGGGGACAAACAATGAGAAGTTGTTAAACGATGAATTTTACATCGGGCTCAGACAAAGGAGAGCAACTGGACAGGTAAATAACTTGATTTCTAGTAGTCTTTGTTTATACATCTATATATTCCAAAGTGTTATCTTTTGTCCACGTGCTGAGACATAGTGTTTATGTACCCCTCACTAGGAATATGCTGAACTTTTCGACGAATTTATGACTGCTGTTAAGCAGATGTATGGGGAGAAAGTGCTTATTCAGGTTTGATTATTTTGCTCTTAATTGCGGATATGTTAATATTCCATTTACTTGGTACTAATTTTTTTGTCGTTCTGTAGTTTGAAGACTTCGCGAATCATAATGCTTTTGATCTTCTCGCAAAGTATGGCCCTAGTCACCTTGTTTTCAATGATGATATACAGGTGATTGGATGCCTTTTCCTTCTTAACTCCTCGGTTGTGTGTGTGTGTGTGTGGGCCCTACTTGAAAATGGTGCGGTATAAGTGCATTCTATAACGCCAATCTCCTTGTGATTATGTTCCAGGGGACAGCATCTGTGGTTCTTGCGGGGCTTATAGCAGCGCTAAAGAAAGTTGGGGGCACGTTGGCTGAGCAAACATTTTTATTCCTTGGGGCCGGAGAGGTATTTTTCTTAGCCATGGTTAGTCGGTTTTAGGATAAACTTAAAGTCTCGTCTTTAATTTCTTTGCTTGGTTCTATGATTAGGCGGGCACTGGCATTGCTGAACTCATTGCGCTCGAGATGTCAAAACAGGTTGGAACTTTATGACAATATCTGTCCGTTCGGGTTGTTCCAAATAGCTACTGGCAAATTGATAAATTTGTAATTAATTTTATGCGTGACTTATTTTATCCAGACGGGAGCCCCATTGGAAGAAACTCGGAAGAAAATTTGGCTGGTGGACTCCAAAGTATGCAAATTTACCATTCCAGATCTTTGTTTCTCTTCGAGTATTTCTTTATCCTTCCCGATGTTGAATCCCGTACTTCAATTTCCCTGTAGGGGCTGATTGTTAAGTCCCGGGTGGAATCACTTCAGCACTTTAAAAGGCCGTGGGCCCACGAACACGAGCCCGTAAAGGATCTTGTGGATGCAGTGAAGGTAAGGATTCTTTCTTGAATTCTTGTGATGTCTCGTGTAAAATAACAATAATAATGAGTTTTTGTTGTTTTGTCAGGCTATCAAGCCTACGGTCTTGATTGGATCTTCTGGAGCTGGAAGAACGTTCACGAAAGATGTTATTGGAGCTATGGCTTCCTTCAACGAGGTTTTCATTCTTCTCCTCTTTTACCGTTTCTTCGCTTTCTTTTCAGGGTTTCGTTCACCTAGAAATAATGAATTGAGATTGTTGCAGAAACCTATCGTTCTTGCTCTCTCGAACCCAACATCGCAGTCGGAGTGTACCGCGGAAGAGGCGTATACCTGGAGTGAGGTAGTTTTTGAATATCCGTTCATTTTGTTAACTCGGGCATTCGTTTTAAACATGTTTGATCATAGTCCCACGCCTTATTTTTCTTCAGGGCCGAGCTATATTTGCCAGTGGAAGCCCATTCCCCCCTTTCGAATACAAGGGGAGGACCCTTTTGTCCGGGCAGGCAAACAATGCATATATCTTCCCCGGGTTTGGTTTAGGACTCATAATTTCGGGTGCAATCCGTGTCCACGATGACATGCTTCTTGCGGCCTGTAAGTTGCTGGTTTTCTTTATTTGTGAGCTAAAGCTCGACATTTCCTTTACGGACGAGAAAATTGTTTTTCGTGCTGGATATATGAAAACCCACAAAGCCTTTGGCCTGAATTTTGATTCTAAAGTTTTATCCCTTTCTGTCTTTTTTCTATCGGGAACAGCGGAAGCTCTAGCTGCCGAGGTTACGCAAGAGAACTTCGATAAAGGACTCATATACCCTCCGTTTTCGAACATCAGAAAAATCTCGGCCCATATTGCCGCCAGAGTAGCCGCCAAAGCATATGAACTCGGTAAGTTAACAATCCCGTTCTAATATTTTAGTACAAATCCATACGCTAGTAGTACCTAAACGACGTGATTTCTTTGTTGGTTTTAAAGGTTTGGCCACTCGTCTACCACAACCCGAAAACCTGGTTGCTTATGCCGAGAGCTGCATGTACAGCCCTACTTACCGTAGCTATCGCTAAGCGGTTGGAAGATTTACTCTTTTTAAGATTTAGATAGTTAAGTCTTTATTTTATTTTTTTCTTCTTTTTACATTTTGAATATGTGGTTTTAATTATTGAAGTTGAGGGTGTTTTTAGGAGCAGGTTTAAGGTTAGATTGCAGAAATGTTGTGTGCTAGTGATGAACTGATGATGTTAAAAAAATAAGAAAGTTTTTTACTACTTGAAAACATATGTAGCTTAAAGAAATTAGAAGGATTGTTGAATCTCAAGTGAAGTTCTGCAAGTTTCAAATGTATACATTTATGAATGATTATTTTCATCCTCCACCTATCAAAAACATGGATTCTCAGCTCCCAAATAAAAACATGAAATTTTGCCCGTATGGGCTTAGCTCACTGGTTCAGTAGGTAGTATTTGAAAGAAGAGATCAATGTTTGAATATCGATGGTGGCAGTGTGAGGATTATGCCCAAAGTTGACAGATTTCTTATATGCACTGGTACTTGGCTCTGTCTATTAAGTTATCGTAATTTACTTCTTTTCAAATACTCTATCGGGTCGAAATGCAAGAGATCCTTGGAGTTGGAGATTTAACTTTTTGGGAGAATGAAAAAGATGAAACTCTTGTGCATTAATCTTAGTTACATACATCTCTTCAGAGGGCAGTTGTTGCGGTGAAGTTAGATTGGCATAGAAACTATAAACTTGCTCGGCTTACACCAATGCACTATATAATTGGAATTACAATTATTAACTTCGGTTATGGGAATCAATGCGGATATATTATAATGGAATTGCAATGATAGGTTTTTGGTTATTTATTGAGTTAATACCCAAAATTGTCCTCGACTATAGTGATTTTTTTTAATTTCGTCCTGAACAACTTTGGTGACCTAATATCGTCCCAGACTTTTGTGTTTCGCTCAATTTAGTCCTCCATTTGTTATTCCGTCAAATTGGTGTTAAATTAAGGGACAATTCAGTAATGTCAATATTGATCTCTCTTTACTTTCAACTTGTGAAGTGCGAAATTCCTCTTTCTTGTACGAATTACACCCAGATTACTCCCAGACCTGCAAATCTAATTTTATATTCGCAGTTTTAGGAGTAATTCGTAAAAAAAAAAAAAAAAGGGATTTTGCAGTTCACATGTCTATGAGTAAAGAGATGCCAATATTAAAATTACTGAATTGTCTATTTATTTAACACCAAATGGACAGAATAACAAATGAGGGACTAAATTGAGCAAAAACACAAAAAGTTTGGGACTAAATTGAGCGAAACACAAAAGTCTGGGACGATATTAGGTCACCAAAGTCGTTTAGGACGAAATTGAGAAAAAGCACTATAGTTGAGGACGATTTTGGGTATTAACTCGTTATTTATTGGAACGCGGTCAATTTAATACGTTAAAAATGTAATGTATAACATTTTAAGCACAATGTATAGATATGATGAAAATGCAATATATAATATTTTAAGCACAATGTATAAATCTATAAAATGACAAAATATCATAGCGATTGCTTAGATTTACACAATTTTTTTAAGACTCTCAAGGCATTAATTTAGATGAAAAATTTCGCTTAAAACTTGCTTCTAGTAGCATGATGAGAGTTTGATTCATGTCAGAATTTTACTACATGAACTCTTAAAGCTTGCTTCTAGTAGCATGATAGCATGATGAGAGTTGAAAAAAAAAATGTCAATATCAAAGTTTTGAGTGAAGGAGAAGTTAGGAGTAGAACTTGGGAGTTCAAGTATAGTATTTTCCTCTTGCCATGGGTATTGGGGTTTTGGGTTGAGTTCTTTGTGTGTGAAATTGTATAATTTGATGTTGATTGACATGGATTTGGGCCGATGGGTTTGGACCTTTAGAGCGGGTTAAATTATCTGATTTACCTTATGAGCTTGCATAGAACAGGTTCATAAGATCCCAGATATAGGGCTTGTTTGGTAAATGGCGGATCCACCAAAAAATTAGCGAATTTGCAATTTTGACGTTTTGACCAGAGTCAAAATGCCAAAAAAAAGTTATTAGTCAAAACGCCAAAAATGTCATTCGGTTCCTCAGTGGAAACACCAATTTTCAATTTGACGTTTTGAGAAAAGAACACATTATATTTATATTTATATATATAAAAAGCCTTGGTAACCAGAGCTTGGAGCCATTAAAGGCTCCTTCCTTAAATGAGCCTTTTAAGCTTCTCTCATAATGAGAGCAATGTTCCTCTTATATAGCGGAGGTCTTTGACACTCTCTCCACTCAAGTAACGATGTGAGATCAAAAGTGGTTTTTTTTTTTTTTTTTTAACTTGATTTTGCTTTATATTATAATTATTATTATTATTATTATTTTTATTATTGCTAATAGTAAAAAAGAATTTCACCAAATATTTTTTTACAAATCACTAATGCAATCCGTTGGTCAAACCCGTTAACACAATCTGCTATCCATTAACAGCTAGCACAATCTTGCCAAACCAGGCCATAATCCGGTAAAGTAAGAAATTAAAACCTATCTTATAAATTTTACTCCGTATTTTTTAAAGATAAAATTAGATAGTTGGGTGAAGGAATGTGGACAAGATACAGGGTTGAATTAAAATATTCACTGAACCTGGTCAAGCCCGCGCAAAGCTTTTTGTAATAAGCTGCTGCCCGCTCGCTGCACTGCTGCTCACCATCACTCCCATCAAACAGTAGTAGAAACCCAGATACAGCATTTTATTTTATAGTGCTTTGATGCACAACAACCCTAATTGAAGAAATCAAGAAACTGAGTAAATAGCTATGAGTGGAGATGGTGGTGGCGGAGGAGGGTGGAGAGATATGGGCAGCGTCGCCGTCCACATACTCACCGGCCGGTGGTTCATGTTCTTTAGCTGCCTCCTTCTCATGTCGGCTGCCGGAGGGACCTACATATTCGGGATCTTCTCCGAGGAGATCAAGACATCTTTAGGCTACGACCAGAAAACCTTAAACCTCGTAAGCTTCTTCAAGGAAATCGGGGCCAACGTCGGGATCATAGCCGGCCTGATTAACGAGGTTGCCCCGACGTGGCTGGTTCTCCTCGTCGGCGCCGCCATGAATTTCTCCGGCTACTTCTTTATCTGGCTGGGCGTCACCGGCCGGATAGCCCACCCCAGAGTTTGGTGGATTTGTTTGTCCATTTGCGTGGGCGCAAATTCCCAGACATTTGTTCACACCGGCGCCTTAGTTACTATGGTCAACAATTTCCCAGAATCACGGGGAATCGTGATAGGATTGTTGAAGGGCTATGTCGGGTTGAGTGGCGCGATAATGACGCAGTTGTACCATGCTCTGTACGGGAACGACGACAAGTCCTTGATTCTGTTGATCGCCTGGCTGCCGGCGGCGGTTTCCTGCGTTTTTCTGGGCACGGTTCGGACTATTAAGGTTGTTCGGCAGTCGAATGAGGTGAAGGTGTTCTACAATCTGTTGTTTGTGTCGCTTGGGCTTGCCGCGGTTCTCATGGCCGTAATCATCTTGCAAAATAGGATAGCTTTTAGCAGGACGGATTACGCCGTCACCGTTTCTGTGATCATCGTTTTGGTCTTTTCCCCGTTGGTGGTTGTGGTTAAAGAAGAGGTGAAGCTCTGGAGGAGGAGCAAGAACCCACACTCTCACCCTTTCACGGTCAAAACGCCAGAAACCAAAGCCGCACCACCACTGCAGTTGCAGCAGGTAAAAACCGTTTCAAAATAAGCTCTTATTTTAAGATATTAGTTTAGCCAATTATTAGTAGTTTCAAAATTGCCAATTATTTCAATCATTTTAGAACTATTTGGGCTGAAACAATATTGAGCAAATACCAATTTTGGTCCCACGAGTATTAGCAAAATGACAATTTTAGTCCACATGTTTAATTCCTACCAATTTTCATCCTCGACTATTACTTTAGTACCAATTTTCATCCACGACTATTGTTTTAGTGCCAAAATTCATCACGCCAGTCACACATTTGTTTAAAATATGTCGAAATATGAAATTATTAAGGGTATTTTCGTCATTTTAAAATTAAGATCCCAATTTGAGCATGAATAAAAAGATTTAAGCCCTAAGATCTATCGCGATTTACAATTTTTCTCCTCAAATTAAAGTAGGATGATGAGGAGAACTGCCAATTGGGATTGATCTTAGGGCTTACATCCCTTTATTCATGCTCAAATTAGAGTCTTAAGTTGAAAATGACAAAAATACCCTTAAAATTTTTAGATTTCGACATGTCTTGGATGGTGGGGTGACCGACGTGATGAATTTTGGTACTAAAATAATAGTCGTGGATGAAAATTGGTACTAAAACAATAGTCGTGGGATGAAAATTGGTAGAAATTAAACATGTGGACCAAAACCGTCATTTTGTTAATACTCGTGGGACCAAAATTGGTATTTGCTCAAACAATATTCCACACTGGAGCATGTAAAAAGTGTTTCAAAATAAACTCTTATTTTAAGCTATTAGCTTCAAATAAGCTGTAAGCTTTGCCAAGTCTGTCCTTATACATAAATTTCATTGATTATATTTCGGATTAAAATTGACATCTCTAGTTGCAGGCCAGGTCGAATCATGTATGGTATAAAAATGTGTTTACGCCACCGGAGAGAGGGGAGGATTACACGATCCCACAGGCGGTTTTCAGCATTGATATGCTGGTTTTATTCGTGGTGACGATGACCGGCGCCGGAGGGACCTTGACGGCGATGGATAATTTAGGCCAAATCGGCAAGTCCTTAGGCTACCCAGACCGGTACATCACCACATTCGTGTCGCTAGTCAGCATATGGGGCTATTTAGGGAGAGTAGTCTCCGGGTTTTGCTCTGAAATCTTCCTAGCCAAATACAAATTCCCCCGCCCATTAATGCTCACACTAGTCCTCCTCCTCTCCTGCTCCGGCCATCTTCTCATCGCTTTTGGGGTCCCAAATTCTATCTACGCCGCCTCGATTCTTATCGGGTTTTGCTTCGGAGCACTGTGGCCGCTCATATTCTCAATCATCTCGGAACTATTTGGGCTGAAACACTACTCCACACTGGTCAGTTTTGGCGGCGCCGCCAGCCCGGTGGGATCCTACATATTCAACGTTAGGGTGGCTGGAGTTTTGTACGACAATGAAGGTTTGAAGCAGATGGCTAGAAAGGGGATGAGCCGGAAGGCCGGAGAGGATTTAACGTGCGACGGCGTGGAGTGTTTCAAGGTGGCGTTTATCATCATCGCCGCTGCTACATTGGGAGGATGCATACTTTCGTTGATCTTGGTAGCTAGAACAAGAAAATTTTACCGTGGGGATATATACAAGAAATTCAGGGAACAAGCTCAGGTGGAGGATGGCCCCTGAGAATCGAAGATGAATGGGTTGGATCATCGAAGCTAGAGGTGATGACCATGAAAATTAAGCATAATTGGATTACCCATTTTTTATTCTTTTTAAAAGAACTTGTAATTGATTTTTAGAATAAGTTCAAATTTAATTGATAAGATTGCTAAGCATGATATTAAGTTGAAAAGTTTGATGGTATTAAGCTATTCGTTATATTCATATTAATGCAAATATGCAATACTTACTTAATTTTAAAAATGAGGCGGTGTTATATATTACATTTGTAAATTGTAATGCACTTGATTGGTTGGGCATTCGACGTGACCTTAGCCTATTTGAGTTCGAGATTCTAAGACGCGTAGATGTACCCATTTTTGGAAATGACACAGGCAATCAATTTTGTAATTAATGCATATGATTTGCGAGATTTATTTTCCTAATATAGGCTGAGTACCATAATTTATTAGGTTTGAGCTATATAAGTATCATGGAAAAAGGTTCATAAAGGGCTTGAAATATTATTCAAACAGAGCAAGAACAATATTTTGTTCTATCCCAAATGGCCAATTATTGTGTGGACCATGAATATATCAGGTATATTTTTAATATATTAAAAGTACATTAGTTTTGTATTGAAGGAACATTATATAAAATAATGTACTTTTAGTGTATTAAAAATGTACTTTCAAAAATGTACCCTTAGTATCATTAGCGCCTTTCATGCAGATTGAGCAAAATGCACATTATGTGTTTCAATTTTACCAAAATCCTAAAGCATTGACCCCATTAATTTCACCATTTACCTACATAGTAGATCCCAAATTTACTTCGATGAGTATCATCGTGATAAAAATGGTTTAGATGAGGAGAGAAAGATAAGACATTGGGCCCAATTGGCCAATTCGAGCATGATATGAGGATATAGCTAAGAGCATCCATAGTAGTTTAACTCCGATCAAAATTGAATTTTTTTAAAAAAAAATAGTGCATAGTGGCTAGGGGTGGGAATAGGCCAGGCCCCTTGTAGGGGCCTATGTCCTGGCCTAATTAAAGCCTAGTTAGGCCTAGCTCGTTTAGTAAAAAGGCCAGGCTTGAACCAATTTCAAAGCCTATTAAACTAAACAGGTCAGAGCTATATATACCAGGCTCGGCCTTCAGGCCTACAAGCCTGGCCTATATATATATATATATATATATATATATACCAATATTTGTATATTTACAATAAACTCCAAGTATATATTATTTAGATATACTAAAGTTTTTAAAACATGTAGACTTTAATAGGCTAAGGTAGGACATACTTTGAAGCCGGCCAGAGCCTAACAAAAAGGCTACATACAGGCTTAAGCCCAGGCCTAAGCTTTAGATTTTCGTAACAGGCCCAAGCCTATTTCCACCCCTAGTAGTGGCAATGCATATGTAGTTCCCCTTTCTTTCCTCTCAATAAGACTTCAAAGGGCTTAGAAATGTTATCTATTATAAAGAGGGAAAAAATAGGTTCCAAAACCAATGTGGGACAACAAGTGAGTAGAAAGCCTTCTTTGAATGAATTCTCAACAATTGCCCACACATTCGAAAAGAAAGTTGAAAAAATAACGTCTAAGCAATACCTAAAAGCTGATCTTGATGTCAGTGTTTAAGATCTTAAAGTGACATTGAGTAATTTTCTTCTGAGAGCGGTTTGAATCTTGAACTCACCGATTAGATAAATTTTGAATTGTAATGCACACATCAACTCTAATAGTAGCAGGTTCTATGAAAGTTAATCTCTTTGACTCCTTATGACTCCGGTCCCTTAGTACTCAACTATGATAAGTCTATCTCAACATAGACCACCCTTTCAAGGCTACAGAGCGATTAAGGTCGTTTTATTTTCACATATTTTGTGGAAGTCTTTCTATGATTTCGTTTGACCACAAAAGTGGTATCCATCATGAATTCCTTAGTACTTACTCCACTAGTTTTAAACCCATTTCCCATGGTATTTCAACGATGACCTTTTGTCAAAGGATATGCAATATTCCTCTTAGACCTCACATACTCCATTGTGATTATATCATTCACAGTCCACTACTGTACAGACTCATGTCTGGCTCTTATGTGTGCGTGTTCTATTTCCATTGTAGACACTATTTTTTTGCAACACAGATAACAGTTTGTGAATCATAATGTATAGTCATAGAAGAAGTTGGACACTTCCACAATGACACGTCTGCCAATAGACTTCTTAGCCACTCAGCTTCTTGGCTTACTAGATCAAGTGCTATGAACTCTACTTCCATATTTGATCTAGCTATGCACAATTGTTTTGTCGAATTCCACGATGTAGCCGTTCCGCACATAGTAAACACATATCTACTAGTGGAGCTGACATCATCACCGTCATTGACCTAGTTTGCATATAACATAGAACCCTTCCATTACCGCTGGGAATCCTACATAGTGAAGACCCCAATCCATGGTGCCTTTGAGGTACCAAGCACTTGATTTAGTGCATCCTAGTGTGTATCACTTGGGTTGTGAATATAACAATTGAGTCTATTCACTGCAAAAACAAAATCAGGTCTAGTATAATTCATAAAAAACATTAGGCTCTCGATTATTTTTGCATATTCTTCTTGAGATACACCTAGCTATCTCTAAAATTTTTGACAATTTTATACTTATTAAATCATATAGGGTTTTAGCCGGGGTTACATAAAAACTATTGAACTTCTTTAATAGTTTCTCTGTATAATGACTTTGTGACAGATGGTTACCGTTTGACAATTTTTGTAACTTTTACCCCAAGTATATCATTAACTTCAGTCATAAGTATTACACTTTTCTTCACAAGTATTCTCATAAGTATTACAATTTTTTTAATAAGTAACTCTTCACCACCTAATATTATATTTTTTAATTCAAAAGTATCACATTTTTCTCGTAAGTATTACACTTTATCTCATAAGTAACAATCAATCAATTTATTAATGATAAGTATACACTTTTTCTCATAATTAGTTGTTCAACCCTTAATATGACGAATTACATTTTAAATCAAAAATATTATATTTTTTCTCAAAAATATTACATTTTCTATCTTATAAGTAACAAATAATATATTCCTTATTAGTAATATATTTTCGTATTATATTTCTATATTTACTCTGCTCGTATCAAGATAAACAACGGCAAAGATAACAAAAGATAAACATTATATAAATCAATTTTTTTTTGCTTCGTTTAACAAGGATTGAAGATATTGTCGTGTCTTGAATCTGGACAGATTCTTGTGGGAAGGGGATATGTAAGATATTCCAATTATACACGCACTTGTGACTCATAAAATTATGGCCTATATTCATAAATTTAGACTCCGATCATCTTCTTCAATTCTTCTATTCTAGAGAAGGAAAATACAGATTATTAGGTTCAAAATGCCGGAAAGTTTCTTCGCCCAATTTGAAATCCCGCAAAAGAAGCGATTTGACGGAAAACCCTTTCCGGCAGTGTTGTCGCCGAACCCAAACGTGTCGTCTACTACAAGCTTCCCGGTTGCGATTAAGGAGCAAAAGCCATGGCTGGACGCTCTTCTTCATCAATCTGGGGCTATTCTCTTCAAAGGCTTTCCAGTCAACTCGGCCTCTGACTTCAACGACGTCGTTGAGGCCTTCGGCTACGAGGAACTGCCCTACGTCGGCGGCGCCGCCCCTCGGACCAACGTTGTCGGCCGTGTTTTCACTGCAAATGAATCCCCTCCCGATCAGAAGATCCCTTTCCACCATGAAATGGCTCAGGTACTTTATTCAATTAACCCGATTCCTCTGAAATTCTAAATTTACTGCAACTATTCCCAAATTCAATCATACTTATTTCTGAAATTCTAAATTTGCTGTAGTTTTAAAAATAACAATGAGATTGTTAGTTGTTAAGTATTCAAAACAACATATTTGTATGATGCAGGTTCCAGAGTATCCATCAAAATTGTTTTTTTACTGTGAAGTAGAACCTGGAAGTTCAGGGGAAACACCCATAGTTCTTAGTCATGTTGTGTATGAGAAGATGAAAAGCAAGTATCCCGAGTTCGTTGAAAGACTGGAGGAGCATGGGTTAATCTACATTAGGGTTTTGGGTGAAGAAGACAACCCTTTATCCCCCATCGGCCGAGGTTGGAAGTCCACATTCTTGACCTCAGACAAGAGTGTTGCTGAGGAAAGGTAAACAACATTGTTTAACAACATTGTTACCCCATTTTGATTTGTAAAGAATGAGGCAAAATGAGATGAATGAAAGTATACTAAAATGGAAGAGATTTGGAAAATCAATCAAATGGAATTGTTGTTTGTTGTCATGCTGGCACGGGCTTGACTCTGATACCAAATTGAAGAATATGTTCAATCTTAACTAAAAGGCTTTGATCTGGCTCTGATACTAAATTGAAGCATGTGCCCTAAACTGATAGTTGGATTGCACATTAATGGTTATAGCTCAACATGCTCAAACAAAGTCAAGAACATTAACAATGACCATTGAGTTGTTTATCTTGTGCTGTTGTTCTTTGAAATGCAAGGCGGCATTTGTTGTTCCCTCGCCACTTGCCATTGACAATCCTCCTCGAGGAGTAGTACATTATATTGCTTTTGATAATGTTTGACAGGGCTGCGAAGTTGGGGATGAAGCTGGAATGGCTCGATGATGGTGGAGTGAAAACAGTTATGGGGCCAATACCGGCTATTAAGGTGGACAAAACTAGGCAGAGGAAGATATGGTTCAACAGCATGGTGGCTGCATATACTGGCTGGGAAGATGCGCGAAACGACCCAAAGAAGGCAGTCACTTTCGGGGATGGAAAGCCTTTGCCTGCTGAAATCATACACGACTGCCTAGCCATCTTGGAAGAGGAAAGTGTTGCGGTTCCATGGAAGAAAGGCGATGTTCTGCTGATTGACAATATGGCAGTTCTTCATGCTCGAAAACCATTCCTCCCTCCTCGTCGTGTTCTAGCCTCACTGTGCAAGTGATAGAAGCATTAGACACTGGGAATTTGCAATGTACA